GCTGGGTCAACTATTCAATCAAATGATATTGAACATGTTTCCCATCTCCTCTCGAGAAACAAGTGGCCTATTTCTTTGCAAAATTGTGCTAATGTAGAATAATTTGTAAAAATATTAATATTATGTATTCGAATAACATATAATAATCTATGATCCAACTATAAGTTGATAAATATATAATAAAAAAATGTTAAGGCTTATTATCAAAACTTAATCTTAAAGTTTTAATTAAGAATTTTAGTTTCAGGGATTATTTGTTTTTGGGTTTTGTCTTGTACAAATCTTTTTATGTACAAAGTGGAGAATTTCAACATAAATTGATCTATTGATTTTTTTTTGTACAGCTCTTTTCCCAGGTGCAAGTGGAGAATTTGAACGTAATTACCTTCAATTCTTTATATCTCGATGCCATTTTGATTTTTTTATTTCTAAATTTAAAAAGTATTGTTATGTAATATAAAAAATATTGATTTTTTTATTAGCCACGTGAGCAGGTTTGACTGGTTTTGATCTTTGAGTTTTTAATTTCCAGTTTGGTTCCAAGATCGAGAGAAGAGAAATTGATAAATGATTATTTCTCCCCCCACCCCTCGACCTAGGTGGGGGGGTGTGGGTCGGGGAGAGGGTAGGATGGAGGTTAGGTTAGGGGTCTAGGTGTAGTTTAAGTAGGTTTAAGGTTAGGGGCGGGTAGGTTAGAGGGTAAGGGTTAGGGGAGGTTTAGGAGTAGGTAGGTTAGGGTTAGGGGCGACTTAGGAGTATAGCTAGGGGTAGGGTAGGGTAGGTTAGAGGGTAAGTGTTAGGGGCGGTGGAGCGTAAGTAGGTAGGTTAGTTAGGGTTAGGGGCGGTTTAGGAGTATAGCTCGGGGTAGGGTAGGTTAGTTAGGGTTTAGGGGGTAGGTAGTTAGGGCTAGGTAGGTTAGTTAGGGGGTAGGTAGTTAGGGCTAGGAGTAGGTAGCAGGTAGGTTACAGGTAGGTTAGTTAGGGTTAGGGGCGGTTTAGGAGTATAGCTCGGGGTAGAGTAGGTTAGGGGTCTAGGTGTAGTTTAAGTAGGTTTAAGGTTAGGGGCGGGTAGGTTAGAGGGTAAGGGTTAGGGGCGGTTTAGGAGTAGGTAGGTTAGCGTTAGGGGCGGCTTAGGAGTATAGCTAGGGGTAGGGTAGGTTAGAGGGTAAGTGTTAGGGGCGGTGGAGCGTAAGTATAGCTCGGGGTAGGGTAGGTTAGTTAGGGTTTAGGGGTAGGTAGTTAGGGCTAGGAGTAGGTAGCAGGGCGGTGGGTACGGTAGCTAGGGACGGTTTCCTACCTACTCCTACCCCCAGCCCTACCCACTAAACCTAGCTATCTTCTCCTAAACCTAGCTCCTACTGTCTACCTCCTAAACTTAACTACCAACCGTCTACCTACTCCTACCCCTCCTAAACCGCCCCTCTTAGCTACCTACCTACCGTCTACTCCTAAACCGCCCCTCTTAACTACCTAACCCTACCCTGCCCTATCTACTCCTAAACCGTCCCTCTTAACTACCTANCCCTCTTAACTACCTAACCCTACCCTGCCCTATCTACTCCTAAACCGTCCCTCTTAACTACCTACTACACTACTATTACCTTGCTCCTACTCCTAAGCCTACCTACCCTAAACTAACCCCCCATAAATAAACCTTAACTTACCACTAACCTTTCTACCCCAACGTCTCAAATTTTCTTTATTAGTGTGTTGATCATTATTCTTAATATTTAAAATTAATTATAAAATTGCAACATCTTGAAAAGGATAGAATAAAATTACTTATTTTTTATCTTGAAAAGAATACTTATACTTGTTTTGCATAATACACTTTAAGAAGAAAAAATCTTTTTAAAACTATATTTTTTATGTGACCTCATTTAAGTCATATAACCAAAAAAAAAAAATTGTTGATTATAAAATGACATGGCTATATTCATATGAATGAGCCAAAGTGAGTTGGGTTATACTCACATGACCAATAAAAAAAAAATGTGCATCTAAATGATACATTCTTTCTTTTTAGCTATGCATACATAGATATTATTTTCATATAAAAACGATTTGTTTCTTTTTTTTTTAGATTATAACCTCTCATTAATCACAACTATTGATTAAAAAAATCAAATATTTAGATATATACATATGACAATAAACAATGTTATACATTCACGATAACAAAATAATTGTTTACATGATTTTTTTTTTCAAAAGTGTGATTTAAGATATTGTTTGTGAAAATTTAATTGTACAACTTTTTTTAATAAAACAAATATATATATGAAATCAATTTATGTGAAATAGTATATTAAATCTTAAATTTAATATGAAAAAAAGTTTATATAAAAAATACCTTGTCTGAACATAAATTTTGATTTTAGAGAATCTGTTATAGTAAAAATCTCTAACAATAGAGAACAAAAATTTCAAAATATTTCACAATTTTAATCATATATTATTTCTACAATATTTTTTAATATTTCAAAATATCTCCGTCTCCCCTTCTAGTTTGTGTAGTTAAATATCATCATACATTATTTGAATATATGATTTTTACAAATCATTCTACATTCTTTTTTATGTAATTTCAAACTAATTGCTATTTATAATATCATACAAATTATTATTCTAATTATCATTTAACGAGTATATTATACAAAATTACATAATAATATTATTTAATAATAATAATAATAAACACTCTCTTTGCATCTTTAAAACTCTGATTTCGAAGTTATTCTCTTGACATCCACCACTATAACACTTCAATTTTTTAATATTATTTGATTTTGTATGATTTTATGTTTAATAAATTACATCGTAAAAAATTTAAAATATATAAACAGAAACAAAAA